CCTCCAGCTCCGCCGCCGGCGCCTCCCCCATGGCGCTCCGGCCTGGCGACGCTGCCGGGAGCCCCCTGGCCTGGCTCACGGGGCCGCCAGGGTCAGGGGTGGCGAGTGCACCCGCAGGGCATGCAGGCGGGGTGCGACGGCGGTGGCCCGGGGGGCGCACGGAGACCAAGGGGAGCCCCGGAGCGGCACCTCGCTGGGCTGCAGGGTGCAGTAAGGGAAGGGGTCCCTCGGCGAGGTGCAATACGGGACAGGGTCGCCAGGCTGCAGGGAGCTACAGGGAAAGGGCTTGCTAGATTGGGGGATGCACACTGGCCTGAAATACGGGAAGGGTGTGCTGGACTGCAAGGTGGAGGGAGTGAGGTAGTAGGGGAAGAGCTCGCCAGCCTTCGCGATGCATGGAGGGGTGCAATACGGGAAGGGCTGGCTCGACTGCGGGATGCCCAGGGGAGCGCAGTAGGGGAAGGGCTGGCTGGACTGCAGGCCGTACGGAGGGAAGTAGTACGGGAAGGGGTCAGCAGGCTTTGGGATGCACGGAGGGGCAGGATGCAGGAAAGGCTTGCTGGACTGGGGGATGCAGGGGGGCGGGCAGTAGGGGAAGGGCTCGCTAGACTGAAGGCCATATAGAGGGCTATAAGGAAAGAGTTCACTAGACTTTGGGATGCATGGAGGGGCGTGATAGGGGAAGGGCTGGCTCGACTGCAGGATACATGGGAAGCTGTAATAAGAGAAAGGTTTGCTCGACTGGAAGATGTAGGGAGGAAGGGGTTTGCTAGGCTGGGGGACGTAGGGGGGATAGGGTTTGCTAGACTGGAAAATATAGGGTGGAAAGGTTTGGCTAGACTGGGGGATGCCTGGGGGGGTGTAGGAATGGAAGGGCTCGCCAGGCGGTGGGGTGCACGGAGGGCTGTAACTAGGGAAGGAATCGCCAGCTTGTGGGGGCCAGGGTTGGCTGGACTGCAGGGTGCAATAGGGGAAGGGGGGGTGCGGGGGGAGAAGGGTTGGGGGGAATGTGGGGTGTGGGGGGGCGTGCTGGGTTGCAGGATGCAGTAGGGGAAGGGTTTGCTAGACTGCAGGGTACAAAAGGGGAAGGGTGTGCTGGACTGCAGGGTGCTAAGGGGTGTGCTAGGCTGCAGGGTGCAAGGGGGAAAGGGCTCGCTGCACTGCAGGGTGGAAGAGGAGAGGGGTTTGCTAGGGCACAGGGTGCAGAGTGAGGCGCAGCGGGAGAGGGCTTGCTGGGCTGCAGGGTGCAGTAGGGGAGGGCTTTGGGGGTCTGCAGGGCGAGAGAGGGGAAGGGTTTGCAGGACTGCAGGGTGCAAGGGGGGAGAGGGAGGGTGCACTAGGGGAAGGGCTGGGGGACTGCAGGGTGCATGGAGAGGGTGCAATGGGGAAGGGCTCGGGGACTGCGGGGTGCACAGGGAGGGTGCAATAGGGGAAGGGCTCGGGGGAATGCAGGGGGGACAGGGAGGTGCAAGAGGGGAAGAGCTCGGGGGTGCGAGGTGCAGCAGGGGAAGGGCTCGGGGTGCAGGGTGCAACGGGGAGGGCTCGCGGGCCGCCTGCAGC